AGATCTTATGGCTGTTGGTTATAAATTATATATTAGAATAAAGAAAAGTTAGTTTAGCCATATGGAAAATGAAACATGATTTTACGACCAAAACAACAGTGCGTATACTTATTGTAAAAGTAGGAAAAGACATTCAAGCCAAATAAATGTCAATAAGATTACTATTAGCTAAAGAAAGAACTTTAAGAATACAATTTTAAAATATTATTTAGTAAGTGCTTCTGATTTTATGCCTCAGCTATTCCCGAGAACCTTAGACAAAAGCCTGAGAAAGGCCACCAAGTAAATTATTCACATGAATCACAGGCCCATGTAAACAAGCAGATAATTTAGGAAACCTTTGCCGGCTTACACATTTTCATTATATCACCACTGGCCATATAATTCAGTTTGGAGACCATATCCTTGTGCGGTGGTCCAATCTGTTGTGTTGACACTTTTTTTTTGGGGGACTCTTCACTGGCTGGGGAAATTTGCATATGTCTCGGAAAATGGGGAGTGCTGGCAGCTTGGCGGGTGGGGGGTCGTACGATATTATGATAGTGATAGATATAATCAAGTTGGGCAAACATCAACAAAATATTAAGTTACCCGCGGGCTGAGTTGCCTGATGGCTGGATGGCTGGATGTCTCGATGTCCTGATATACTCGTGTCCCTCACACATGGCGTGTATATCCTTTCGCTTACAACTACAACAACTACTCCTGCTCCTGCTCCTGCCACTGACAACAACAAAAACAATCAGCTAAAATGGCAAAAAGGCAAAAAACCCGCGACAGCGTGACTAAAATGCGCACGTCAATCCTTTTTTTCCTTCCACATTTTTTTTCCACTTTCTACTTTCCCCTCTCCCATTACCCCATCTCTTCCTCTTCTTTTGGAAGTTGTTGTTGTTATTGTTTATATTTTTGTTGCTTGTGTTGTTGCTGTTGATTTGGGCGCGCCAGAAGTCGGCCATGTTTACGTGCTTTTTAAATAGACAAGCGACTACGACGACAGCAAACAAATAGAAAATAGAAAATATCGCAAAAAAAAAGAAGGAAAATCAAGCGAACCCAACGAAAAGCGAACACAAAGCAAGGAAAACATACCAAATAAAGGCCGGGAAAATAGTGATATATTACATGGATCGAAGTGCTAAATACTCTTTAGCCGGCTATCATATAATCAAGTTTACGAAAAAGAAATATGTGTCCTTAATTGGCTTATAAATTATTTTGAAAGCAACTTAATGCTTGAAATTGCAGTTAAATTGTTTACAAAAATTCAAATTGTGTATATTCTGTATTTATATATTTAATATTTAACAAAACTTGAACTGAAAATATTCGATAGATATATTTCTACAGCTGAATCCTGAAAAATCTTTAAGATTTATCTTATTTTTGTAGTGATTAAAATATTTTTCTATTTTTTAACAATCAGATGAATCTGAAAATCTGTTAAAATCCTAAGTAATAGAGATTTAATTTTGGAAGACTTTTTAATAACCCTCTAGACGCCTTATAAATATCTTAAAAGAAATAACAAATTAATTACAAGTTAAATATTAAATGGCAAGCTCAGAAAAATAACCCAGCCTAAAAGTATGCAATTCTAATGACCACCTTTGAAGGGTTTATGTTTCTTTCTCAAAGAAGTTAACAAAATAGATATAAGTATCCTACATAAAGTTCTTTCCAACAACATTCCAACACCCTTAGCTAGAGTATCAGAGGTTAAGAAAAAAGAAAATCGGCTGACAGGAGAGGAGTCAAACAATATTGAGCGCACTAAAGTGTCGCCATTAATTTCCTGCAGGAAACACAATACAAAATACGAAATACCTAAAAAGAAAAACAAAATACAAAATAGAGAATACAAAATACAACCCAGCATCGAAGCTGAAATTGAAAAGCCCGAAAAGGAAGGCCAAGGAGAGATGGCTGCTGACAATTAGCACGCATTGGCCATAACCATAAACGGCGAACAACAACAATTAGCAGCAACTATTTTTGCTTATTGGCCCTAAACTAGAGGAGCTCCTGATGGGTTGTCGGAGAGACGAGGGAGATGGCGAACCAGACGGGCCAGCAGACAGAAAGTTGTCAACGGCAACTGAAATGATAAGAAAATTTCATTTGTAATTAATACTAAAAGGCGCGACGGCGAAAACAGAGAGGGAAAAATTCTGGCTGGGCGGAAAATGCGAGGCAGCCACAAAAGCGACAACCACAAGCCAAAAAACTAAGGAGGCGGGCATTGCGGGGGCCGTTCAGACGGCTGTGCTGCCATGACATTGACTGCACTGAGAGAAAAGTGTGTTAAGTCTATGAAATTGTGTGTTAAAATGTTAAAATATTTCAATTTTTACATAGAGAAATGGGATAAGTTTTGTGGAATTTGCAAATATTAAAATATTTTCCAGAATTTTTTAAGATTTACAGAAAGCAAATTCAAGACATTTTTGTTGATTTATCTTAAAAATTAATTTAAAAATATTTAAATATTCCCTTGACTTTTACAACTTTTTAAGTTGATAAAAATTCGCTTTGATTTCTTAAAGTCAAGCTAAGCTTAAAGTTACAAAAATGCAAAACCCATTGAGAGTTAGTAATTTCTCGCAGTGTACCCCAGACTGCTGACTTTTTGCCCTGCTCTCTCGCTTTGTCACTTGCCGTTGCTTTGTGCAGCCATAAAAATTTGTTCAACATTTTGTTGCCTTTTATGATTGCGAATGCGAGACCAAGGAGGAATGGATGAAGAAGCCAACACAAGGATCAGATGGTAAACGAGGGCAGAGGGGCAGGAGGGAACGTGCAGCCAGGTGAAAATTTATAAATAGAATTCAATGAACAAACAAAATGAAAGGAGAGTGGGAAGCCAGCAAATTGAATAGAAATTATTCGAGACGTTTTTCTTTTTCTTTTTTTTTTTTGCATTTTTCAAAATAAAAAGCTTAAAAAACTTTGGGCGAAGTGTGTAAATTTGAGAGAATCAAAACACCTACAGCTTAAGGCTAAATTGGAGACTTAGAAGTTGAGAGTTTAAATAAAGTTAACTTTTGGTTTTTAAGTTCTTTCCCAAGGCTTTTCCTTTAGATTTTAATTTAATATAAGAAAGAAAGTCTGTCTGGCAAATAAGTTTGATGTTTGAAATCAATCTTCGAGTATAAATGCCAAATGCTGTTTTATGACTCTCAGTGGGAAAGCCACAATTTGTCGACAGCGGGTTAACTTAACCCTCCTGCCTCAAAGCCCCTTCAGCTGCCAAAGGGTTAAGAGCCGAGAAAGGGTGACTGCAATGACGCTGAGCATTTAGAAATCCATTAATTTCAATCATTGCCCATGACTTTGCATTATTATTATTATTATTGTTATTACTCTCGTTGATGTTGCTCTTGTCGTTGGCTTTTGCCTTTTGCCTTTTGCCTTTTGCCTGTTGGCTGTTGGCTGGCTCTTCCCCTCGTCACAAATTTTCAAGGTTTTTTTCTCCTGGCTTTTTGCCCTTTTTATAAAATATTTCAAAGGGCCAACAAAAAGTAGAGAACTCTGGGTTGTTTTGGCCCAAAGTTTGGCTTGGCCAAATAGTTATAAAAGGGATTTAGCAAGGGGAATTTATTTTTATTTTAGATATTTTTTTGATTTGTCTTTGTTTTAATATATAAAACTTCCTAGTTTTTACCACCTTAAAAGCTACCAATTTCCATAACAATATCAGCCAAAAATGTGTACATTCCCGAAGGAGTCGCTAGGAAATATACCTTCTTCATACCTAATAACACCCTTCAGAAAGTTTCGCAAGAATATCTGGAGTGGAACTCGAGTTCGTTGGGGTTTTTCCTTGGGACCGAAGAACTCCTTGCCGGAAACTACAGTGCATTTCGCACTGCACTTTGTGGGAAAGAAGGAGGACAAGGGGGTCTGGTAACGCGTTTTAATGACTCAACATTTCTTGACTTTGATTCGAGTCGCGGAAGGAAAGAAAGAGTGCAGGTTGCTGGTCCAAAAGGGGTTGCTTTTGGCCAAAGGCATTGGCCCGCTTTTTGTCGGCTGTCAAAATAACAAAGTGCTTCAGCTGCATTCCCGCCAAGCCAGAAAAAAATGAGGTAGTACCGAGGTGGAGGTACAGAAAAAAAAAAGAGGGCCAAAAGGCAAAAAGTGTCGATGAATGTTAAAGTTAACAAGTGACGGAAGTGAATTTACGGGTGGGGGGGGCGAGCAAAAAGAGCAAAGCAGCCGCAAAACAAAAACGAGCCAGCGAACCGGCGAACAAAAAGCGAAAACCAACTCGAACACGAAAAAATTAAAAGGCAAGTAAGCAAAAATCATTTTTACAAAGTGCAGGACACGAAGGATCCCTTACTTAAACATGTTCCAAGCTGAACTGGCATTGCCCTATTAATACTGGAAAAAATGACAGTTTTAAGGGCTAAAATATGGAAGTTATTTATTAGTTTATTAAAGAAAAGATCATGATTAGTTTGGATTGAGATATATATGTTAAAAACATCGGCTAATTTCAGATTTTTTATATAGAAGTTTATTTTTTTAAGTATTTTTAAGACTTTAATTAACATTAACACAAGACAAATGCCTGTTTTTTTAACTCAAATTAAGGTTTAAGGTTTATTCAGGTAACTAAAAGTTCTCATAAAAACATAAATAAATTGAGAAAAACTTACTTAAAGGACCTTAAAGTCAATACTAATAAGTAGAAATAGTAAATAATATGTTAAGTACAAGTCATAAGCTGACTAGTTGGTTTGTTTCTGAAAAATCAACACTTTTATTTTAAAAGGCAACTTTAAATGTTAATGAAAAGGCAAGCCATTAAAATCCCTTGCCACCCCTACGATATTTAAGTCCATGCCTTTGCGCTTTTCCCCAAACATTTACAAGGCATTATAGCCCTGGTAACATATATATTGACCCAATCAGATCTTTGACATGTTCGCGGCTTATATTCATCAACGAGAAAATCGAAATCTGATGCACTCTCCACCGCTTTCTCTTTGCAGTTCTGCTTGCCGTCAGCTGGGAGGATTGGTGGACATACGACGGTATCTCAGGTAAGCTTTAACCAGCCCCCTTTCGCCACCCTTTCGCCGCCTCCGTTTAAGTTTCATAAATACCAACAACAAAGTAAATTTTAATCAAAGCTCAACAATAACCACGGACGGAAGCGGAAAGTAAAATTTCAGCCAACGAGCGGCACGCGTCGCTACAGCAACAAAGTTGAAGGGAAAATGGGTGGGAAAATTCATGAGGGGGGGTCATTTACACCTGCCCCAGGGGGGTGGTGGTCGAGGAAAAGCTAGTGCGATTGTAGTTGTCGTTGTTGTCGGTGTAAAACGATTTTCTCAGCGACTGAAGCTGCACGCGTGAAATGCATGGGAAAAGGAGCCAAAGGAAAATGGATGGGGTGAGAAAATGGAAAATGGTAGATAGGGAGATGGAGATAGGGTGGTAAGGTGGAGGAAAGGCAACGAAAGCAGCGACGAAGCCGATTTGCAGCTGTCAAATGGAAAGGCAGACAAAGTATTCAAAGAGTCCAGGCGGAGAAAGAGAGAACTTTCCTTTTTTCACCATTGTCTGGCGTTGAAACGTGATAAGCAGAGGCCCAGACGGAGACAGAGATAGAGAATGGGTAAGAGACAGAGACAGAGATAGAGATAGAGAAGGAGACAGTGCCCCGAAATGCCATCGCCATCGCCATAGGAGAAATGGAGAACAGTTCGCCATGTGTCACTACTAGCGAAGAAATCGGGGCAAAGGTCCGTGGAGATTATGTCCAGACAGGACAGCAGACAGCCGATAAGCGTTGTTCCATCTCCCTCACACCCTCGCCCCCAATCCTACCTATCTCACTCACTCACTCTATACTCCAGTGGAAACACTCTGCATTCTCCCTTCAGTTCAGGAGCATCTTTCTTAATCTTATTAGAGACACAACGGCGACGCCATTTGCACAAGACAAATGCATAAATAACTTCAAGTGCTTTGAATTTTGAATTGGATTTGGCAAGCAGGGAAAAGAGGAGTGCAAAACGCCAGATAGGTGGCACGAAAATCAAACTTTAAGTGCAGCAAACCGAATTCTGATGGAATTTCAAATGATCTGATGGAGAAAATTAAGTGCTAGAAGGGAAAATAATGAAAATTTATGAGATAAAGAAGATAGTCAACTTTAAAGTACACAGAAAGAGATTATTTTAGGTTGAAATTTAAATATTTATTTCATATTTTTACACCCTCAAGTTAGTGCAGTTTAACCACCGAACAGGTCTAAATCTAAAAATAAGATTGAAACCCCAACTAAGTCTTAAATCGATTTCCATTGAACTTGAAGATCTGATTTTCGCTCGATGTAAGAGCCTGGCAACAGGGGTATCTTGTAACACGTGTTGTCAACAAATTGCAACCGAAATCCGAGGCGAACTTTGTGTCTCTTTTGGCATAAATAAATTTACATAAGCATTGCATGCATGCCGGCTCAGAGGAGGACTCGGAATCCCTCGCCAGGGGAACGCCACTGAGTGTGGCGGTGGAGTAAAAGGATGGGCGACTGGTGGTAAATGGCAAAAGGTTGCCCCCTGAAAAAGACGGCTAAGCCTCAGCTGCAGTTGCAGCTGCAACGTGCCACTTGTTTAACGTGATTTGCACTCCCAACGAGCCAAATAAAAGCGGCCAAACGGAATCAAACGAAGCGTGCTTCATGCCACCGCCTTTAGCCTGCAGCTTGCAGCCTTTAGCCTTTAGCACCAGAGTGTCTGGCTAAAAAAAAAAGAAAACCACCATCACCCGCGAATACCATCCACCACCCACCCATCATGGCAACAGCCCGAACCAGATCCAGATCCAGTCAGCCAAGCCACTAATGTTGTTAATGGCTGCTAAAATAGTTTGGCAATTGCCTCATTGACTCGACTCCAGACCGCAATTTAATAGACTCGAGACTGCAACATCCTCCTCGGCGTTATCTGAAGACTTTGACTAGCACCAACCGATTTTCCTTTTCCCACTCCGCGAGCTGCATTGGCGATGAGCACGTGACACGTTTGGTGAATTCTTCGATTATTTTTCTTTTTAAATGGTTATTAAGTGTTTAAATTACAACTCCTTATGGTTAGTTGATTTTATTTTTAAGAAACATCAACTTGCAGGCCATCTAAACTTCTCTGCTTAAGCCAGCTAAAATGAAAAACCTATAAGATAGCCACGCTCCAGCGGTTTAATTGCTTAACCCATTTAACGCCCGTGGCATCTCCAGTTTTTCATCAGGCGCGCACTGGTTATTTTTCCCACTCTTAGGATTATTTTGCCCGTTCTTCATGCTTTATTTTCATCCGCTTTTCTTTCGGCTTTTCTTTTTGGCTAATGCGATGGCGTCGTTGAGGTCAACAATCGCTTAAACGCGAGTACGTGGCATATCTATGATTGAAGCTCCTGATTGCGGCCTCGCAGCGAACGTGTTGATTCCCAGGGCCCCCCTTTCGCCGCCGCCGCTGCTATCCATATAGCCACACAGCCAGCCCAGGCAGTCAGACAACGTACTACGTGTCGTATACGCAATGCGACTGCAGGCGAAGCATTTTTATGGATATGAACGTGAGGTTGGAGTGGGGTGGGGGGGTTTAAAGTGTGCCATAAATGGGATTACAAGTGGCTGGAACGGAACGGACTCGAATGGAACGGCCAGAAGAGGTTTTAATAATGGGTTGATCCTTGAGCAAGCAAGCGAAAAACATTGCGGAATGAAAGGATAAGCGAAGAATATAAATAAAAACCATAAACTCAATTAAGGCACTCGGTGCGGTATAGGGGAATGGGTAACTGCTCGTCTATGGTATAAAATGGAATGGAACACCTGTTAGTGTGTAATATTTAACCCAGAACGGACTCTTAAGTCCACAAGATGGAGTGCTGTTACCTTAGCATTCAACTATCTTAAGTGCAAAACTGAATAAATTAAGGAAAACTCAAGCCGAAGAATGGGAAATGACATTTTTAGTCGAGGGGAAACCATAAAGCCATCGATTGGATTGTGGCAGATTTAGGATCTTCGAGCAAAAACCAAAATGAAACACTTTCAATTGCTGAAAACACAAGGACCATAGATTATATCAACTCAACAATAGCAACAAAACTGGCCAAAGGATCGACTTGCCCCCGGGAGCTGGCAATAAAAAAAGCTGGCCTATTGTTTTTCGGGGCAGCTCAGCTTGATTTCATATTGCCATAAATTAAGCTGCCAGAGGTTGCCAGATAAAGTTGGTCAAAGCCATGGAAGGGAGATAGAAGTACGTACTGAGAGTGAGACGGCAGATAAAGCTGCAATTTTACTGTGTTAAAGTGGGTCGTGGAAATGGGGGAAATGAAGTAAAGGGAATGGCGAATGGGGGACTGTGATTGGGAGGAAAACTAAGCAAACCGCACAAAATTAAACAAGTCTGGGGACTTGGAAGCGGGTCTATATGGCTTAGTCGTGTGGCCAGAATCAAACAGACGCAAAACCAACCAAAAAGCAGAGAAAAAAACAAAACTAAACCAACGCAGTCCAACACCTATGCAGATGCAGACAAATATTGTAATGGCCTCTGGCCCCATGACTTTTTCCCACTACCCCCCACTACCCTCCGTTTTTGCCATTATGCAATTTGTGGCAGGTTTTTGCAGCACAGTCCCGTACAGCCCAGCAGAGCCAAGCCAGCCAACAACCCACAATTGTGGTCGGCAAGGAAACTTTGGAAACAGTTTGAGGCAAACTGTAGGGGGGTTCATAAATCTCCGTGCCACCCCTGTCCGGGATCGATCCGAAGGTCTCTCTAATAGAGTACAACCCATTCCTCGTTGCAGGTCCTGCCTTCTGGGGTCTCATCAATCCGGAGTGGTCGCTCTGCAACAAGGGTCGTCGCCAGTCGCCGGTCAATCTGGAGCCACAGCGCCTGCTATTCGATCCCAACTTGAGGCCCATGCACATAGACAAGCACAGGGTGAGTCTGGAGATCTGTCAAGGGTCTCCTCTAGGGTTTAATATGTATTTGCAAATAAGGAAAATATATTTTTTTGCATTTTGTTATGTAAACTATTGGCTTGTGTGCCAAATCATTGAATTTCTAACATTTTTTTGGGGAAATATCTTAACAGAAATTTGTTTTTATATTCGAACTTCTTGCTTATAAGAGGATGATTAAAGGACTTCTATTACTTGTTTTGTTTTCTATGTTATTATATCTTCTATTATATCTACTTTTAACTGCTAAATCCATCACTGATACTTTTTATTTAGAAAGCATTTACTTAATGCCCAAGTATAAAAAGGAAGTAAGGTTGGGTTTGTCATGGATGCCCTAAGGGCTATTTATTTTGTGATATATTCTTCCCCCATGTTACTAATGATCAATATTATTGCATTTTAAATTTACGTTTTAAGAGCAGAGAAAGAAGTCTGTGAAAATGATTCTTTTAGAAAGTTTTTTATGCAAATTTATTCAAATTTATTTCAGTTTTCGAAGTCAGTTTGAAGTCTTAGTTGTATTTAGGGAGTATTTTTTAAGTTTTAAGTTTAATATTACTATTAATAAAAGAGATTAAAAAGGCATATGATTAATATTTAATACTATTAATGATACATTTATGACCTACTGTATCAGATATTTCACTCCTTTTGTGAGTCAAAGATCTTTCATAACTATCTCTGCCTGCCTCTTTGTAAGTTGCTAATAAGTTCTACAGAACATTTTGTATATATTCCACTTCTTATGTTAGGAATAAGCCTACCTATTACTTTCTACTTCTTAACAATTTAGTTTTAAGCCCTCACCAAATGATAGGTCAAAGGGTGATGGCTATCAATGACTAAGCTTATGATTTGAGAGTTCAGACCCATGACTAATGACTCTCTGAATAGGTTTAAGTTACTTTAAGATAACATTATATACACTTTTACAACCTTCTTATATATCGCATTTACCTCTCTTAGATATCCGGACTGATCACTAATACGGGTCACAGCGTTATCTTTACGGCCGGAAATGACACGGTGGCCAACTATGATGGCATGCAGACGCCGGTTAATATATCCGGCGGACCGCTGTCGTACCGCTACCGCTTCCACGAGATCCACATGCACTACGGACTGAACGACCAATTCGGATCGGAGCACAGTGTCGAGGGCTACACGTTCCCGGCGGAGGTGAGTTACACTTGCTCTTTATGCCACTGCCACTGGCGGTGTCACTCTCAATTTCCGGCCCAGGGTGAGGCCTAAATTTAGCATGGGACACTTTGACACTTTTTCAGGGGCTCAAGGCCTCCGATGGATTCTATTTCGGTTCTTTGCCTGTCAACAGATTTCCCTCTTTAACAATTCAATTGTGTCTGCCTCTGTTTCTGGATGGTTGTGTGAGGAGTAGAAGGAGGGTGAAGGAAGTTTTCCAACTTTTCTTGCGTCATTTCATTGCCAGCCTGACATTGTGGCCCTGCGCCAGTGGCTGTAAACTTGTTAGCCCGCCCGCTCAAATATTTACACAGATAAACGAGCGGAAGTGTATTTGATCAGCATTTAATGCAGCAAATGTCGATTTGTCGCAAAAAAAAAAAAAAAACATGAGAGGGGGTGGCAAAGAGACGGGGCCCTGGGGTGGCGGCAAATAAAATAAATAACAAAGTCAAAAAAGTCAAGAGCTCGGCTTCTTTGTCTGGAGTTCTCGACGTTATCATCATCAACGCGACGACGTCGTCGCCAGGTTCAACATGTTGGAAATTCGCCCCACTTGTCTGGCGCTTTGATTTGCCGCCCCCCCCAGCCTCAGATTTTCCGCTTTTCCACTTTACCGCCCCCAAGGCAGTCCGCATCATTCACACTTTTTCGGAGAAGGAATATTTTAGAAGGCGGCTTAGTTAGGTTTCTATATTGTAAGAAGTTTAGTGGACAGATTTAGATTTTTGAAATAATATTTCTGATTTTCCATACTGCTGTTTTATATTTTTAAAAAATATTGTTTATCATATTTTTAAGCTACTTTGAAACAGAATTTTAAAGTAATTTTAAACAAAAATATTTCTGATTTTATAGGATAGTTAAATATAGATTTGTGATCACCAGATTTCCTTTACTCTCTCTTATAGATTTCCAAGATTTCCAAGAGAAAATCTTAGCAATTTAAGTGAATGATTTGGAGAAGCGTTTCCCTCTTGATTCTCACAGCCTGCTCCTGATGGCTGATGATTTTGTATTGTTTTATTTGTACATTGTTTTCGGGAAGCAGGAGAGGGACATATTTATGTGTCATATAGCAGGCAGGCAGGCAGAGGGGGCAGGCGATTCGCTTAGACACCTTGTCTGTTTTATGCAACCTCCCCCCTGGATTTTCCGGAATGTACACATGCGTGCTCTCGCCCCCTTGTTTGCTGTTTGTCAAATATGATTTAACCTCTCGGAGTCCGTGTTTTGTTCATTTTGATGTCAAGTTCACACACAGGCTCGCTTCAGTTGATTTGCGAGCACGTTATTAAAAATATGTAAATACCCGCGACTTTCAACAAAGGATTCTGTTCTGTTTGCCTGCCTGGCACTCAGCCACCGCCACCGCCTACGTCTTGGCTGGTTATTTATTACTCGAGATTTATAACTAAGTGCCAGTGTTCTCCATTGACTCAATGACTCCTGAGAATGTGGCTGGAATCCCTAATCTCTGACAAATTTCACTGGCCAGATGTTCATTAATTAAAACACATTTCTTGCGGCCCCAACAGCTGTTGCTCCTCCGAATTAGTTATTGTCTAGTGTTAATGAACCCATAACTTTTGTCCTGCCAGCATATTGGGAAAATACATTGGCCATTTTATGGGCCCATGTCCTACATGCTTGGCACATCACAAACTTGGCCAATAAATGTTTGATCAATGCTGAACTAGTTAGGGGCGATGGTTTCATAGTTTGACAGCCATTTCGGAAGATTTTGGTAGTGCCGAATATTGGAGATTGAAATATCTTAATCTTAGAGGCATGTCATTTTGGTGTAGCAGTTCGGAGAGTGTAGTTTGTAGGCTCTTCAAGTGCAGAAATCACAATGATAGTGCCACTCTGATATAGGATAAGTTATGCTCCTCTGCAAGAGATAATCCCACATTTGTGATATCTCAGTTCCGGCTAATAAGAGATCTTTCAGATGGAGGGGTTTCCCTCCACAAAGCAAATTCCCGAAATCAAGAATCCTCCGTGGCGCTTTTTTAAGAACCTCTCAGTGGCAAAGAGTGCTCCGCTCCCGAGGGTTAATCCTGTCGTGCGTCTGTCTGGTCCTTGGCCACTTGACTTGACTCGAGTTGAGTTGAGACGGGTTGAGACGGGTTGAGTTGCGTTTGCCTGAGTGATGTGCGACACAGTTTTCATTTTCATTTTGCAGTCGCATTTCCATTTTCGTTTTGGTCATGCGGCGCTTTTGTCTGCTTCTCCTTCTGATTTCCCTCTGATTTTCCCGTTGCTTTTCCTTTTTGCTGCCAGGCAATCAAAAAGTGAGCCGCAGCTGCCACAACAAACTGTAGACTGTCGTCTGTCGACTACCGACAACCGACTGCAGACGACAAACAAATAACGTTATAAATCTGTTGCATGTCAGCAGTTGGTGGCTGGCAACCTTTAACCCCCGACATCCAGCTACCGCCAATGTCAACGCAAATTAATTAGAAACCCGCCCAGGGGTGAAGCCGGCTCTCTTTTCGCGAGTGACAAAGTGTGCCGTGTATTTCGGTTAAATTACTTCGACTACTGCAGCCGCACAGCATCGCAGACTCCAATTTCCCCGCCTGGGGGCCTCCAGAAGCTCAACAATTCACTGCTCAGCCTCGATTTGTACTCTTGTGCCAACAATCGGGTGATTAAAACGCATTCTGTCAGTCTGCCTTCTCGGCTTAAGCCCAAAGTGACAAACAATTGCCAAACTGAAATGGGAGACTGAAGCGGAGTCGGAGACCCACTTGGAAACTACTTTTCAACGAGGCAAAGAATCTAGTAAAAAAAAATGCAAAATCGGAATATAAACTATCAATGCTGATTTCTAAGTGCAGTGAAGAATCAAATTTAATTTGTCTCTTAACTTGTGGAATCAAGCAAGGCTTCGTACTGAGATATTAACTTAAAAATAAGTACAAGCAGAAATTTAGCAGGATTTTTCCTAAGTAGACTTCATAGAGTCAAGCTAAAAATTGGTTTGTAAACTTCGATATCGTTCCTGTCCGAAAAAATAAACAATATCGGGAAGATGGCCCAATTAACTCATCGTCGAAATATGACCAGAGCGGCCAAGGGATCCTGTTCCAGTGGCAGTTCCCCCCGGAAGCCGACAGTAAAGGCATTTCCCGGCCGTAACGAAAGCCGCCTTAATGGCCCCGCCTGGGAATTTGATCTGCCTTAATGAATTCGTAATTGGCAATTTTAATTAATCCCCATGAAATCCGCACAAGATTGCAGCCGTGTCTTGGATTTCGGTAGCCTGTTGTCATTGGATGCCAGTGGCGCACACCTGAAAGGTGTGGCAAGGCGGGCTGAGAGGGGGAGTGGTTTTCCGGGGGATTTTCCGGGTATGCTGCCAGCTATGCGTTATTTCTATTTGCAATGCACAGTTGCCTAATTTTGATTTGTTTTGGGCCGCGGTAATTTAGCACTTGTCTTGTGGCTAAAATTTAATCACCAGAGGTTTGGTTTTTAGTGTGATTGGTGGGTGGGGGGAGTGAGGGGTGGTTGTGATTTAGTGATGGCTGCGTGAGTCCAACTATCGCCTGGGGCATAAGTGATTTGGGGCGTGATTTTCCAGCGACTTTCACCGCACTCTGCGGGTGATTTGCCATCCGGCAGTCACGTGCTCATCGGTAGGCGATCTATAATGTACTGGGTCAGCTTTCCCCTCCCTCCCTAAGCCTCATTCACCCCCACTTAACCCCCTTCGTTATGGTCAGAATCAGCCCCTTTCAATCCCGCCAGCCCGCCAGCCCGCCTGCCTGCCTGCGGTTGGAAACCACGGGCAACACAACCAACAGAAACGACCAACAACCGGCGATGGCTTAACCATTAATTTACGCGCTAACCATGAAGTACTTAAATATACAAATGTATCTGTATCTCTATCTGTGTGCCTGAGTGACTGAGCACGAACGAACGCCAAAATATTTGCTGCTAATGAGGTCGTGCTGTAATTTTAGCGACCCCTCGGCTCCCTCAAACTGTCCTAGTACAACCCCTTTTCGGAAAATCCGTTTAAAGGATAACCAGCAGTCAGCCAGGCTGGCAGTCAGGCAGTCAGGCAGGCGGGCAGCGATTAAAGCACGTTTTTTCCACCTTTTAAAACGCTACTAAGTCGTTAATGGGGGCTGAGTGGATTTTCCGCGGGCGGGTAATGAGTTCGGTGAAGTTCTTGATTGGATTATGATGCCAGGTAAGTCAGGCACTAAGGTGCCAAACTGCCAAGACGGCGTTTAAAGCGGTTGGCTAAGAGAATTCTTCAAGTGCCTTCAAAGTCCAGGCGGTATTATTAGAAGGCGACTGACATGGCGGTTAGTTAAAGCTTCTTGTTTTATGGTTTCTTATAATATTCTTAAAAGTATTTATTTATTTATTTGCTGAAATTTAAAGAGATGGTTCTTAATAAGCTATCTATCAAAATCTTTCCTTTTAGATCCTCGAATGATAAAGTGAGACATATATTGTTGCATACTTTCAGGCATATAGATGTTTTTGTGAGATCCTCATAAAAATTGTTTTCCTTTCATCTCAAATCATTGTCCTAACAATCCTTAGCCGAACATCTCGCATTCCCTTGTTATCCTGCCGGACTACCTTTGCACTCTCAGCGTTTCCATTTGGTCGCGTTTTCAAAACGCCAGCAAATCGCGTTGACCTGCTCTCTTCCCTGTTTTTCAGCTTCTCTCCTTTATCTTTCGCTTTAGTGCCGGGCATAATTAGCCGAAAGTGCTACAAGTGCATCGGGAAAGTGCTCCCAGGAATGAGGGCCCAGACAACCATGACAAACTGCGGCCAGAAATGGAGCGATCTGGGTCCGGTAAATCGGCTCCTTCCTCTGTTTTCCTCCTCAGCTTTCTGCTGTGTGTGTGTGTAAGTGTGTTGGTATGCGTGTTTGACAATGTCCCCAGTGCGTTGTTAAGCTAATTTGCTTCATTTGTCTAGAAAACTGACACAGACCGAAAGGAGGATGGTGGTTGGGCCGAGGGTAGGTGGGGCAGACCAGACATAGGCGGCAAAGTGTTGACATGAGGCCATGTTCTCGGCCTAAACCACCAGGCTTCTGCCCTTCTGCTCCTCTGCTCTTGTGCTCCTGCTGGCCATGGCCAATATTATCGTGCCCGGTCAGTGCAGCACGAAAGCCAAGTCAAGCGGCTGAAGGGCCAAGAATGCCATTTTCCTCGTCCTGAGTCCTTCGTTCTACCACCTCCATCAACATCCCTCCCAGCCAAACCAATAAGCCCACTGTTACCTCTGCTAGGCAAAATATTTGTGTACAGTGGGTGATTTTAAGGGGCAAAGTTGGTTTGTTTTTTGAATATTACAATATGGCTTTGATTTGTCTAAAGATATATATTGAGATATATACTCTCATCGTAACTTTAACTTTGTTAGTTCGATTTACGAAGTTCGACTGTAGAGTAGAGGAAAGTTTAGCAACTTGTTATCTGCATTTATTGGAAATCACAGAAATCGATATGGTTAAGCACCAGCCACAAATTATTGGCAGCTTATCAAAAATCTGAGGACTGAGGACTAGCCAATGATAATGGTTATCGGAATTGCTAACAGCATACGTTTATAAGTTTACTGAGTTGATAATTGATTTAAAATGGATTTAAATCTAGCTGTAATCGGAATTAATTTATGACAATAGAAAGTACTTGAGAAGATAATGAAGATATTAGAATGTATAAAAGATATAGAAAGTTCTTAAAATATTTCATAAATTCAAAGATATTTATAAGCCCTTAAAGTACCCCCACTTACTCCGATTCACCCCACTGTCTGTCCCAGCTTATTGACTGCAGAAGGACTGTGTGATGGGGTTTATGAGGCAGAAGGACCCACTGTGCTGGCCAGGCAAAGTTTCAGCAGCTGGCGTCGCGACGGTCGCTTTGACTCCTGCTCCTGCTCCTGCTGTGGGGTTAAAATGTGGGCGAAAGGCAGTGGGAGAAGGGAGGAGGGTGAGCTGGCCAAGGACTGTGGACTACTGACTAGGCCTGAGTCTGGGGCTCTGGGCTCTGGGCTCTACGGTCTGTGGAATCCATGCAGTGAAAACATGTGTAATTGATCTGATTAAGTTGCCTTTGCTCTGCGTGTGTCTATCTGTTTGTCAGTGTGTGTGTGTGTGAGTATGTGTTTATGTGTGTTGGCCAGCTTTTCTGCCTCTAGTGGTGTGTGTATGTGTGTGCGTTGGCCAAGAAATATGCCAGAGGAGCTGGCTTTGTTCAAACAAACACTAGAGGGAAAAGGAAAGCGGGGATCAGGGAACGGGGAACGGGGAACGAGGAACTAAGAACGAGGCATCCCCAAACACCGCTTAGGCTTTTGGCTCTTTGCGTTTTGGCCGGCTTGTTGTCCGGCTATTTGCTGGTACTTACACTATTTGCCCTTGTTGTTGTTATTACCATTATTGTTGTAGCCTGGATCTGCTGTTGTTGTTGTTGTTGTCTTTATCCGTAAGTATCGTATTTGTTGCTGCCACCCAGACACACTGCTTGTATTTATTTGCTTTGCCACAGGCTTTGGCTGTTTAATGAAACGGAAATATAACATTTTAGTTTGCGGTCAAATATTGTATAATTTTCCGCTCACCCATACTGCTTCTGTTTCGCATTTGCCACACTAAGCACACACACACACACACAGAAAGAAAAGGAGGGGGCGGTTCATTGGCTTTTATGATTCAATTTCATAGATATTAGGCCGAAGGTGTGAAGGTATTAGAAATTAAGCAGGGTAAATGGTTTATATATTGCGAAAATCAATTTACAGGTCGCGTGGGAGGCGGGGAAAAACTTTAAATTGATTTAAAGACTATATTGGTTTGAGTCAATCGGTTTAGTTATATTTTCAACTCAGCTTAAAGTAAAGAAATAATCATTTAGTTCTTAAATCTCTCTCAAAACTTTCCAAAACTACGCCAAGCTTCGTGATAATGACTCTCCTTCTTCATTGCCGACATATTTGCCTTGTATATATATGTTTATTTTTTGTCAAAAATATATTATTAAATACTTGTTTATTCAAACGTGGCTAAACTAAACTCGTCTACACCAACTTTCGTAGTTTGGAAACAAGTTTTTTCTTCTAAATTTTTAATTACCAACAAAAAGTGCGCCATCTGGTGTTCAAGTGGCAAAGCTGCTTGTTCAGTTTTCTCATGCAGTTAACACCCGGGATTGGCTCTAGCTACATATTTCGGTCGTCTAAGAGCAGGAAGCATTTTTGTGTGAATGAACATAGCTTGTGCTTGGACTGTGGCCAGTCCTTGAGGCCGAAACGGGGGAAGGACGATAAGGACCCAACCATCTTCAGTTTGCCATGGTCTCGTCAAAATTTCATTTGCATCTGCATTACCAAATATACTTAAGTGTATGTACATATATGCAGGGACAGTGCGTTTCGTGACTAACTAGCTGGAGAATCACAAATTAAGTTACTAGTATCTTCTGGCTAAGAAGTTTATAGAGTTCCCATTGTGATTTCTCAATCACCTTTGATGGCTTTTTATTTCTTAAAATTTTGTTAAATATTTGAAGATTTTTTATAGTCTTTAGCTTACGAAACGCACTGTACACGCCGAGTTCTTCATTTTTGATAGAAACTTCTCTTCTATTTGCATTAGTTGCCATTTTTCCCACCCAACTTGCCGCCTCTTTTCCGCTGCTCTGGCAATTGCAACTTCACCAAACACTCGGGAAAAGGAACTTTGGGAAATTTTAATTTAATTTAATTTTTATTTGCCTTGCTGGGCACACATTAAAATTGCAGCATGTAGTTTTTTAATATTTAAATGCACGCCTCACCGCCCCCTTCCCCCGGCCCAGTTCCTTGCTTTTTCCAGCCATTCTCCTTTTGGTTCGTGCAATTCCCAGGGAAAAAGAAGAGTTAAAAGTCGGGACAGGACATGTGAAAGGTCCAGGGGTGGGGAGGGGAAGATGGTTTGGCAGGACCACTACTATTAACTGCCCAGCGCCTACGGCCACGCCCACTGGCCATCCGTGTGTGTGTGTGTGTGTGCTCTCTGCTATTATTATTATTATTTTCACTATTGTCTGCAGCATTTCCTTCCGCTCGGTGCGTCTGGTCTGGTCAACCAGCGAATGCACTCACACCTACACCTCTTCACTCACACACTTCCGTGCACACACACACATACAGAGGAACACACTCACTCGCACGTCGAGAAACAAACATATCCCCGAACCCAAATCCCCCCGAAATCCATGTACACATGTTACACAAGCTCACAAACAATTGCAGGGGATGCTCGAGAAGTAAACTTAAATGGAAGTTCAGGGCAAGGGCTGGGTTGATTTTCTAAGGAATTTAAGATATATGTTTATCCATTAAAAGATACAACATTTAAACGGAAAATATATGTTCTTTGTATATGCTTAATTATTTATATAATATTTGTAAGTCATCGAAACCTTTAGAGCCCATCTTTAGGAGGTATCTAAAAGTTAACTAAGATTGGTTTTTATTCCAAGTTACCTTTATAAAAAGGCTAAAAAATATACATCTTTAACAGCATTCCATACTTTTGTTATGTTTTTAAAAATGTTTTAAGTCTTCTATATTATATAGATACCCCATTATCCACCGATAACTTATAAAAGAATCTTCTTTAGTCGCCTAACACCTCGTGCAACCCTCGCTTTAAGCATTCGTTGTAGGATTCATTTTGTGGTGTCGACTCCTGCTTTCCTCTTTCTACTTTCTCATACGCTTCCTTCTCCTCCTTTCTCCCCTCTTTCCCTTAGATCTTCTTCATCTGTAGGCGTTTTGTTGTCGACATGAAACAAAAGTGCAAATGCACATGAGACTGTGTGAGTGTGTTTGAGTGTAGGAGTTTGAGGGTGGTTGGCCCTTTTGGTGTCTTGGCTAAAAGCAAAATATTTGCTGTTTTTGTTGCTTGATCTTCTCTCCAAACTCCGAATGTGTGTGTGTGTGTGTTTGGCCACGTGTTTTAGTGTTTGTGTTTGTGCTTGTATTTGTGTGCATTTTGTTGATAGTTGGGATTATTTTGGGGCAATTTATGCGAAACAAGGCGAAAGCTTTCGTTGACCCCTGCCACGCCCCCTGGTTGTATGGTTGCTTGTCACCGCCTCTGTATGCATTTGGGCTTAAATTGAGCAACAATAAAGTTTTGGCCACAGCACACAAGAAATAAAGAATGGAGGCAGGACACCCAAAAAAACGAAGAAAGAATTCTCTAGTCCTTTGCCATATCTCACTCCGGTCTCTCATTCTGTCTCTTTCTCTTTCTCTCTCTTTCTCCATACATATATATTACCCCTGCTGACTCTTCATTCCCCTTCTGCCTTCCCCAGATACAAATATTCGGCTACAACTCCCAGCTGTATGCAAATTTCTCAGATGCCCTCAATCGCGCCCAGGGCATCGTCGGCGTCTCCATTCTCCTGCAGGTAAGTAATGTCCCAAGTTGGTCAAAATTCATAACCGATAAATAAACAAAGGCCACCATTAAAGCGATGAATTATTAACTTATTTATGATTTCTTATGTTGCATATGAAGTTTTATTAATCTTTAAATACTGCAGCTTAAACTTGTGGGTTTATTTTTTAAAAATATTTGTGATGCCTTCAAGAAAACTTTAATTCACTCGAAATAAGAAAGAATGAAGCTTATATGAGGATATTCCATTATAAAAAAGTGTAAAATAAACTACTTAAAACTTATTACTAACGACCTATATGAGCCAGTAAGCCCAGTAATATGTGATATCTAATGTTATCAAATCATAATCACCTTCTAAGTTAAATTTTTCCTTTGTTTTTAACACTACTTTTAAGGAGACTTTTTAAAATAGGCTTAGAAACTTAGAAATATATAAAGTTAAGACATTTTTAAAAGCATTTTCCATTGATTTGTTTTACATTATTACTCTATGCTGATACCTATCTGTTTTGCTATTAAAAATGGTTATTATAAAACTCTCTCATATTCCTTAGCTGGGTGACCTCTCGAACCCAGAGCTGCGCATGCTCACCGATCAGCTGGAGCGCATTCGGTATGGCGGCGATGAGGCTTTTGTCAAGCGACTCTCCATTCGCGGTTTGCTTCCGGATACGGATCACTACATGACCTACGATGGATCCACAACGGCACCAGCCTGCCACGAAACAGTCACTTGGGTGGTGCTCAACAAGCCCATCTACATCACAAAGCAACAGGTGAATAAAGTTTACTAAAATAATTATGGTTTATCATTTATTATGGAATTAGAAATAAGTTAAGGACCTAACCTACACTAAAGCAGGACATATACAGCTTATCAAACTACTCTCTCATTTCTCGTAAATAACAAATTCTAACTCGATTGGACAAAAACCTTAATTAGTTCAAAACTAACAAAATAATTCCCCCAAATTAAAATAGCTTTACTTGGTGACTATTCTCAGCACAAGTTAAAACGTAAAAAATAACCATTTTCCAACCGAATTCATCAAGTCGCTTTCCCGCTCCACTCCACCTTCCACCTTCCACCCCAACCCCAAAAAAGAGAACATTTTGAGTGATGAGCACCTTAATGTTTGTTAATTAGTATACAGTGCTCCGATGTCCGCTGCTCCCCGGCTTCTTCTGTTTTATTAGCTAATTTCATTTAAGTTTTAAATTGAGTTGCTGCTGCTGCTGCTGCTGCTGCCTCTGCTGGAGGAGCAACAAAGTGGATAGTGTCCATAACTCAAAGGAATGGCGAACAGCGAGCAGTGAGCAGTGAGCAGCGAGGAGCACACACACACATTCAACAGAAACACAGAGAAAGAGGGAAAAAATTTAACACAAATGTTTATTAAGTGCAGCGCTGTAATAAAGACGCCAGCGGTAGGTGGATGGTGGGCGGTTTCTGTGGAGCGGTTGAATGGTGGCCAGCGGCATACGTGTAAACAATGTAAACAGGGCGGGCGGAAAAAGAGACACACACACACATGCACACACACATGCACATGCACATGCACACGCGACTGCAGCAGGCAGACTCATAAAAACTTCAACAAGCTCAATGGCACCCATGGGCACATGATTACAACTTGTGGCAGCCGTGGAGGACTCCGGTCCACGATTCTCCGGCAACGTAATTTACTGGCTGCACCGCACTCACACACACAGTCGCGTACTGTGGGAGAAAGAGAAGGCAAAATAGAGGCAAAAGGAGAAGGAGAAAGGATAGAGACGGCAGACAGCGACAGCACCTTGCTGGCAAAACATAATTTACCAAATTAAAGTAACACCAGTGGGCCAGAGGGGGTGAAATCGGCACTGGTAGCACAGGAAGCTGCGCGACATGAGCTGAAATTGCAATTAACCCATTAACGTGCGCTCTGTCATAGCCGGAAAGGGAAGACGATAGCGACCAAAGGGTTAAAGGTTTTCACACCGGCTCTTAAACGGAGTTACAACCTTCTGGAAAATCAGACACTAAATGAATTTTTCGTTTTTTATGCTAATATTTAATTAAAATGATTCTCGAAATGACTATAACCTGCGCCAGAAAGTGTAAAACGATTGGATTTAAACACAAAAATAAGATGAATTGATCCTAAAAGGCTGAAAGTAACTTAAAACTAACTTAAGTTTAAAATTCTTACACATTTTAAGCTACTTATTGGCTCTTTTACAAAATTTTAACATACTTTTCTCAATTCGGGCTTAAACTATCATTTGCATCGCTTTAGATTCCCTGTTTATTACGAAACCTCTTAATTTTAAAACCGCAAACCAGTCCGAAACGGGCTTTAATCCTTGAGTGCCATTTAGTGTAGCATACTTTCGGGACAGCCGAACATACACACACACACACACACGCACGCATTCACTTAAACCCAACTTAATTCACACTTGAACGGGCACTCCCTGGGGGGAGTAACCTGTTACCGCCCACCGGCGAAGAGAACCCTTAACCCACTGAAGCCCCCGCTCTCTCCTCAATCAACATCAACCCGGCCACGTTGTCGTGAAAAGCGATTTTGACGGAAGTCAATTGATAAACAGATTGAGTAGATTAAGTGTTATTGACTCGTTGTCGTGGTTGTTGTTGCTGCTGCTGCTGCTGTCGTCTCATCGATGCTTTCCTCTCTCTCTTTCTCTGTATGTGTGTGTGTGTGTTTATCCTTAGATTTACTTTTTTTATTTTGAATTTTTTGTTCAGCGAGCGCTTATTTTTAGGATTAGCAATTTGTGTCAAGCTTGATTTTTTGCCAAGTGCCGATCGATGATGTTGTGTGTGCGCAAAAGTTTATAATTATGCACGTTAAACGCTCGACAGACTGGCTAAAATCGGATGGATGGGCTCTCCGGCTTATCTTCATCGGCGGATTGGCTTATTGTCGGGCCATTGTTGATCTACTTCCGTGTCTCGATGGTGCAAGAAGCACCACAGAAATTATAATTACCTAAGAGGGAATGGGAAGTGAATGGATTGAAGAATGTTTCTCAAAGGATAGTTTCCTCGTGATAAGGACATTATTCCATACTAATTCACACTTGAACGGGCACTCCCTGGGGGGAGTAACCTGTTACCGCCCACCGGCGAAGAGAACCCTTAACCCACTGAAGCCCCCGCTCTCTCCTCAATCAACATCAACCCGGCCACGTTGTCGTGAAAAGCGATTTTGACGGAAGTCAATTGATAAACAGATTGAGTAGATTAAGTGTTATTGACTCGTTGTCGTGGTTGTTGTTGCTGCTGCTGCTGCTGTCGTCTCATCGATGCTTTCCTCTCTCTCTTTCTCTGTATGTGTGTGTGTGTGTTTATCCTTAGATTTACTTTTTTTATTTTGAATTTTTTGTTCAGCGAGCGCTTATTTTTAGGATTAGCAATTTGTGTCAAGCTTGATTTTTTGCCAAGTGCCGATCGATGATGTTGTGTGTGCGCAAAAGTTTATAATTATGCACGTTAAACGCTCGACAGACTGGCTAAAATCGGATGGATGGGCTCTCCGGCTTATCTTCATCGGCGGATTGGCTTATTGTCGGGCCATTGTTGATCTACTTCCGTGTCTCGATGGTGCAAGAAGCACCACAGAAATTATAATTACCTAAGAGGGAATGGGAAGTGAATGGATTGAAGAATGTTTCTCAAAGGATAGTTTCCTCGTGATAAGGACATGTTTTTAGTATGGAATAATTCTCTACTTCAAGTTGGATTTATATATTTAAAGCATACTTTTCGGCTTCGAAGGTAAAACTAGAATCTATAAGCAGGGCCTTTCAACTTTTTCACCTATTTTCAAGTCATTTAGTATGTTAATTAATAAAATTTAAAAGGATTTAAAAGTTTTTAATCACTATATTTTAAAAATATTTTTTACAGTTGCACGCCCTGCGCCGCCTGATGCAGGGCAGCCCCGACCACCCGAAAGCCCCTCTGGGCAACAATTACCGGCCGCCCCAGCCGCTGCTGCACCGGCCCATCCGCACCAACATTGATTTCAAGACGACGAAGACGAACGGCAAGGCCGCCTGCCCCACCATGTACCGCGAGGTCTACTATAAAGGTAATAGAAACAAAATTTTATTAAATTTAAGTATTTAGTTTTTAGATTTAAAGCTGACAAGGACAAGGGGAGAACCCTTGATTACTATGCTTAATTATTAGCATTATTTTGTAAAAATGTTTCTGTTTTTATTTGCATAAACTAATAAATTATTTTGTAATTCTAGCTGAGATCATTTATTTAAATTTGGTCTAATTTTTGGAAAGTCTTGAAAAAAAGTAATGATCTTTTTGGAAAGTTTTTAATCAACTCCTTTCCAATAATTCTTTGCTTCTTTTTGATAGATTTTTTCTCTTTTTAAAGTATTTTTACTGTACTTGTTTTTTACTATATGCTAGCTTACCTCTAAAAGGCCTTCATTCAGATTGCTTAACGCAAAATTAGTTTGTTTCTTAAGTCAAACATCTTTTTGATTTTGTAAAGGACAAATTTGCAAACCATTTTTCGTCATAAATAAGAAATAATATATCACGTTTAGATATTTTTTGAAACTTAGCATAGCTTAAATAATAATATAATCCCCAAATATTATGTTTTCTGAACTGATGGCTAATTTAAAATAATACTTTACAGCGACCAGTTGGAAACAGAACTAGAAGTCGGTGACGTGATGACGTAACGTAACGTATCGTAAGCGTATGACGTAAGTAGCGAGCGGCGTGCAACAGGAGCTTCCACTAAACATACATATAAGCATGGCGATGCCGAGGGGAAAGGACAAGGAAAGGAAGGATTAAGAACAAGGATGGGCAAGGAGCGAGGAGGAGGGATAAGAACACAAAAGGAATCAGTGCAGCAGTGGCCAAAGGGCGATTGGAAATACACACACAGACACACACACACTCATATATATATATAAATAGGCAGAGCATTAACAAAGGAATAATATGGATAGCGATTACGATTACCATAACGATAACGATAACGATAATTAGCATTAAATGTGCATTTTTTTGTCTCCCCCGAAAATCAATCAGACTGCAGAATGCAGTCCGAGGTTACTCATATTTTTTTTTGTGTGTGCGTAGCGTAAGTACAATAACGATAACGATATCGATAGCGATGACTAGTAAACATAATTACCGACATAACCATTAACGTAATCCAGAAAACCAAACACTAATGTATATTTTAAGTTAGGCCTGACAACGTGAAAAGATCAAAAATTATATACAAAGTACGCGGAACGGCAAGCATTATGCAAAACCCACCCACAGTCCACGCCCATATTGGTGGATATACATATAAAAACCGTTTGTTTATGCCCCCTAAATGTGTATAGAGCGGCCTCTGTTTGTGTTTGTGTGTGTGTTTATGGACATTAGGTAACAACATTAACAATAATCAAGTGTTAATCTCTATGAGCAACGACATCAGAGTGGAAAAACTTTACCACATTTCTATACATTTTCATTGCAAACATTGCATTTTCATTTATTCCTCGTATTTTCAGGCCTTAATCCCACACTTTAAACACATTTTTATATATTCTGGTCAACTAAAAATGCATTGTACTAAAAAATAAATATGAATATTTACCTTTGGCCAACAGAAACAGAAATTATAAGCGGGCTTAATTTTTTCCCACATTCAGTTTTCGCTAAGCTAATAATTTGAGTGTCTAAAAACAAATCGTAAATATTTATTTTGAAATTTTATCAGCAAAAAGAAAAAAAAACCCCGTGACGAACTACAAATTTATTAACCCCTTTTATGGGGTCACAAAAAAGGTCCCCCTTGGGGGATGTACAGGCAGCGAGGGCTTAAAATAGCTGCACATTTAATTGCAATTTTAAAATTATGAATTTGGGCATTTTTAATACGTAATCCCGATGTGGAGGCCCCGCCAACGTTGCAGTTTCGCCGCAAATGCGTGCATTTTGCATTTTAAATGCACTTGACCGCAGCATCCACTGCCATCCGCCGTCAGTTCCCCACCGGCGGCTTGTGTAACCCTGGGACCTTATCGAAACCAACTTACCCGACACTCTCCACCACCCAACATGCAACACCCATAGAACACCCATGGAACACCCGGGGATGTCGGGCTGTCGCTTATCGAACGGCAAATGCAACATGAAACCACAAAATCTGTTGCGGTTATTTAAAATCACGTTTAAATACGAAAGTGCTGGCTGTCTCTCGCTTCGGTTGGGTTTTTGGCCAGCATAAAAATCAACTTTTTAATGGCCGAAAGGAAAATGATTACGTATACGCCGCGTGGCCATGGTACATAACCGAAAACTGGCCAAAGCTTTATAACTTTTTCCTCTCCTGACTGACTAGCTGGTCTGCTCTGACCAATTCGCTACTAAATACCCCTCGCAAAATCACATAATAATTTGTATAAACATTCGCATTATTTGCCCAAGTTGACATTTTTGCCGTCGTCGTTGTTTTTGTTCTCCGGCATTCGACTGAAACTTTTCCAGCTCTTTGTTTCATTTAGTTTCAGTTTTTGCATTGTGCATTGGTTTTTGTTTTACCTACTTTTTGTTTTGCTTTTGGTTGTGCATCGAGGGATTTGCCAATGGGAAATTATGACTTAAATTAATACATGGCAAGTGTAATTTATTTGAGAGAATCGACCAGCAGCTGCTGCCCTCGGAGGATACCCTGTACGCTTTTGGGGTCATTAAGATGTGGGTTGAGTTTTTGGAATCAGCAAAAGGGTGACCATTTTTTGGGTATATTTTTATAGAACTTATTTAAAGAGATTTGAGAGAGATTTGGGCTTACACCTCTCCGCATCAGCACCTTTTCTTAAGCTCCCCTACTTACAGAGTATCTGTGAGAACCATCAGTTAGCTAGTGACCTAATTAGCCTGGCCAGGGAATAGCCTGGTCCATCAGTTTATATCCAGCAAACTCAATTCCAACTTTGGCTGACTTTCAATCAATCAAATGGTTTGGGCGAGGCGGGGCAACTCTGGCCAAACTGATTTGCGGTGAGTTCTGCACGAAGTTATGCTGCACAAGTGGGCGAGGCGGGTGGCAGATTGGGCAGAGGGGGGGGTGGCGTGGCATGACGTGGAGGCGTGGCTGACCACTGGATCTGGCCAGACGGGGCTAACCCGACACATATATTGGCAGGCAGTGAGCGGTCGACAACCGCAGACTCCGAATGGATGCAAAGTGCAGGTAGAGCAGCAGTGGCTTCGAATTAACTTATTTTATTTTGGCCACCAAAGGTTTTAGGCAACTTTAATACACTTGTTTCACTACCCTGAAAAAGGTATAGCTTTGTACAGGGTATCAGTGTTTTTATAAAGTAAAAGCAAACATTTTATCGACGCCATAAAAATTGCGGTGGGAAAATTTATATATGGGGCAGGAGTTCTTCTTTTTACTTCATTTTATTTCCATGCATATGCTCTATGGGATTGCAGTTGGCCATTTGGGCTATTGGCCATTTCGGTGATTATTTTTAATACATTGAAGTTGTGGGTGGTGTGGCGTGGTGGGTGGTGTGTATTTCAGACTCGGATAAAAGACTACATCGATCATGACAGTCCGGGCGAGAGCAAAGCCATTCAGAACAGACCTGCAAATATTGCAATTTGACAAAGTGACAAATTCGCTGCCATTCATTTTACTGAGGGTGTGGAGGGCTTTGAATAATGATGAGGGTCGACTGTGCAGTGTCCTGTAAAAAAAAACACAGCTGAATGGGTTTTAAATTCAATATAATAGAGACTTAAAGATCTAAAAGAGTGACTATGAAATGAGCTGCTTGAAATGGGAAAATCATTCTTAATCATGTCTAAAAAATATATTTCCCATAAAACGTTTGTCAAATTACCTTCCACCAATCACTCCCAGCTAAAAAGCAGAAATATTTTCCATGAATTCGCAATTTTTCCATTATCTAATTCCACGTTTTTCCCTATCCACCAAATGCTGGGCACAAAAAATGTGTAAAAAGTTGCAATATTTTTATGAGCAGCCATCAAACGCCCTGAAAATGCAGTGTCAGCGGGTTAAGGCGACAGTGGAATTCAGCAATCAGATAAATGGGAGAGAGAGAGCTTGTGATGTAACAGCATTCTAATATAATAGATAGTTAGTAAGTTCGCAACAGATCTGACTTCCTCGAGGCATTATCATATCTCGTTATTGTTTTCAAAACCCGAATCGAACCGGAACACCCGGCAGATGAGCAGATGAGAAGATGAGCAGATGAGCAAGGCCAAACCACTATACACCCTGACTGGTTATGCAAATTGCCCGAAGAACAGAGGGTGGCCAATCCCCTATCCCTGCCCGCCCAACCACAATAGCCAACCCCAAAACCCACCCGAACTTTAAATAACACACCCAACACACCCTTTGGGGCTATCGCTGCTGTCCACACAAGACTAATTAAATTATGGAAATTAAATTGAATCGAGCATATTTGTTGTTTGCAGTTCATAAATTTGCGCTGCTAAAATGTCCGGAGCAGCTAATGTTCCGCCCCTTCGGCCGTGACGCCATGTAAATCATTTCACAATAAAACGCATAGCACAGCAGCAGCAGCAACAGCACAGCAGCAACATGCACGGCAGCAACACACTTAATTATGACATCATTAATTTTTAATAATGACAATTTTGCGACAATAAATCACTTAACTAACACAAATGCGACCGACCAGCAATATGCATGAAATTAGTAAACTTTAAACAATGCCATCAGTGTGCCTGTGTGTTCGTGTTCATTGAGGGGGTGTTAAGGATTGCATCAGTGGGTTAAGTTGGGTTGGATAAGCAAATAAACAGATTGACTGTCCCCATTGCCTTGTCCTGGCATTGAGTGATGGCAGCCAACACGAGGATGTTGCTTGCCGCTGGTCAGCGATGTTGCTGCGGGGCATCTGCCGTTGCCGTTGCCGTTGCAGCTGCAATTGCGAGTGCCAGTGCCGTGCATGGGATGAATTTAATTAATCTCGCTACCGTCAGTTGCACACAATTGCAATTAACTTGCAACACTCGCATAATTACAGGCGACCTCATGTTTTGCTACTTATCAGCATCAACATTGACCCAACGACAGCAACGACCAGTGGCAATAGCTGTGAAAACTGTGATGGCAGCAGTTTATACCCTTTACTGGAAGAAGAAATACCCAAAGCTTTGTACAAGATCCTAGAAGCTCACTCGCGAGATATTGAATCTAAATTGGTGTACGTTCCTTAAAGAAGGGAAACTTTCTCTGTATTTCCAAAAAAAAAAATTATTATTTTATGAAAGTTAAAAATAAGTCAGATGTTTATTTAAATTTTAGCAGCTAAAAACAAAAAATCCCTTCAAATAAATCTGTTAAATCAGGAAAATCCTTGAGCGCATGCCTAAAAGTATGCAACGATTTTGGATTGGATTAAAATTAAGTGCAAATGCTCCTTTTTCCCATTTTAAGGGTTTTATGAGGCAGTTTTTGAAATGGAATGGAAACCAACTTTGGGATAATACAAATATAAATTTTTATAGTTTTCCCCCATTCGTTCACACCCCTGCTTTGGCTTTTTCAATGGGCATAACGAGCGACAAGCTTGCCCTGACACATGGTCGACTCTCTATCTCTCTCTGTCTGTCTGTCTGTCTGTCTATCTGTCTCCCCATCCATCCATGTGTGTGTGTGTGGGTGGGTGGCTGGTTGAGTGTGTTTGGGTGTGTGTGTGTGTGGGTAGTGGTTGGCTCATTGGTCATTTGGTTGCTGCTCGGTTGGTGTTAGCGGTTGCTCGTCATCGTCATCATCAAGCTGCTGCTGTTGTTGCCGGTCGGCGACTGATTGCAAATGTTGTTGCAGTTGTTGCTGCTGCTGTTTGTTAATGCCTGTAGAGCACAAAGCTGCTGCCTTGTGGTCAAACGAGGCACCTGCCGCAGTCCCACCACCACCGCCCATTGCCACCCCGCCAATGTCACTGCAAATTAACATTTTGTAACGCGTTTCGGTTGCTGCCGTGTTTTCATTTCACACTTTGGGCGTGTGTCCGTGTGTGTGTGTGTGTGTGACATGCATTTGACACAGGAACTGGACAAGGCAATTGCCCAGGAACCACCGAATACCGTCACTCCACCCATCACCCACTCTTGTGGCAAATTTGTTGTATTTGCGCCTGATTGCCAAATCAAATATTTGAACAGTACAGTAAGAAAAAAAACATCAATAGGAGAGAGGTTAAGCTATTGAAGGTTAAATAATATTCGATTTAAGGATTAATTGTTAAATGAAAAACTCTAATAAGGTCTTAAGTTTATTATAATTTGATTTAAGATCTAATATGCAAACCAAAGTGCGGCAGATAGCAGTACAGTACATTGCAACTCCTTCAGAATGTGTCTAAAAGTATGCAACAAAATGTAACACTTATCAGGACGTGCAATGACTTCTTACTTTTTGTTTCAATGCCTCTTAATCCCATTATTTTATTTTATTTCTTATATTTAAATTCTTCTTCCCACACAATTCTTACTTTCTTACCACACATTTCTTTCCATGCACCATAGGCCAAGGGTCAGCAAATAGCCGGTCGACAGAAAAGTGTACGAAGCGTTTGGCTTCCATTTCACACGTAAATAAATAATAGACTTCCGAAAGGAGCGAAGGGCCGAACATTTTTGGATTTCAATTTGCCAAAAACTGTTTAATTCGCACAAACAAATTTGGCCCGAACTGTGCTCACAACTCGCTGATTGTTGGACAAATTCAGTTGATTTCTTGTTTGCCCATAGACCCCAAAATATAACACAAGCACTCGAACACACACACAGACACACACAGACAAACGAGCCGGAAAAGAATAAATTTGGGTCAAGCACCCAATAACCAATGATAACCTATGGATCTAGATGATAACCTAATGTAACTAGGCAGAAAAGCATTCACATTCTCTGTAAGGTTTATACATATATGTTATATAAAGACAAAGAAATAAAAATGAAACAAAATGGAGTTCACTTAGCGGCGTAGACAGTTGGTACGGCATAATGTAAATTTTTTTGGAGCATCAGATACTCCACCGAATAATCCTATATATAGTACCATATAGCGTAATTAAACAAATACAAATATATATATATATATTCATCACATAGTGAAAACCAACTAAATGCTTTGTATGTTTAACGAATTAAGTAGCGACAAACCAAGGCGAACACCAAGTGTGTAGTGTAAAAAAAGTAAAGCAAAATAATATATAGCTAAATTGTATACATATATATATATCTATATATATATATGTAATTCCCAGAAATCAGCTTGCCCCATTGTTGTGTGTTGAAATCCCTCGAATATAGTGCTATATAAACTGACATGTGTAAAAAGATTTGCAGGCCACAAATTATATATAATTATATACATACATCCCTAAAGCTATATATATATACGAAATAAATATATATATATATGTGTATATGAGGACAACAAATATACGAGTATATATAGAAGCGTTCCGTCTCCATTTTTTGTCTCTGCTCGGGGGGGGCTAATCCCCGGCCCGGGAGGAAATTACCTGTAACAGCACAACAATTACTTATTTCCGAAAGCCTTCACCTCTCGCTTTCGCCGCTTTAACGACAAAGGCCCAAGGAGGTTCACGATAATGGGGAAATGGCGATGCGGGGGCGTGGCACAAGCCGTCCTGTATAAAAAAACTAATTTCCGCCACGCCCACCAAACAACAATAAAGCTGTGCCGTTGTCGCCCTCATAAGAGGTGCAAATTAAAAATGTTATCGGAAAAATGGAAGGACACTCTCAGATACTCTAGAAATATGTTAAAGAATTTCAGATTTTGATATATTTAATTCCTAAAGGTAAGTTTGTAGTCTACCGAGTGGGGAAATCTTAGTGGGAAATGCATTTTTAAGTTAAAATATTTAAAAATATTTAATAATTCTATAAATGAAACATTACAGAAAATCAAAGCTGATGCTCAGCTTAACCCAAGCAAACTTAAAGATAGATAAAATTCGAAAGAATCGTCCCCGAATCGTATAGGGTAATCCATATCCCTCTGACTGATCCCCAAAAGTATGCAACGGGGCCATAGAAATCCCAGGACTCTGGCGTGTAATCAAAAACGGTGAGCAGGCCAAACAACATTTTATTTAATAGTTTGCTTTGGACAAAAGGCGGTCGGCGGTAAAATAAATAAATATAATAATAATAAGATGATAAAATGGATTTTCGTGTTGGCAGAGTTTATGCGTTATGCTGCCGGACGATAAAAATCTCTTTCATTTCCCATTTGAATTTGCTGGCATATGTTTCTCTGTGGGGGCGGTCCGCGGGGAGGCTGTTATCATGGCGTCTTATCAAGGCATAAAAACGGAAGAGCGACGAGGACGAAATAAATGCCGGATATCCTGGCTCTGTCGCTCAGCTTCCTCCCCATCCAGTCCTGTTTTTTCAGTTTTTTTTGTGTTTTTTTTTTTGCCCTCAGGATGCGACAGCAACAACAGCCGTGTTAATGGGCAGCGGGAAATTTGTTAAACAAACGCCCCCTAAGTCCTCGAGAGCCTAAGTCTTGGCTTTAATAGATTTGCCGGATTTTTTCCCGGCCGTCGGGTTCAATGGCCATTCCGGCGGCCTATCGATTATTTCCCCGCTCTGCGATTGCTCCCTCTAATTTGCGGCTGCCGTTTTCAATTTCACGGGCAAACACAAAAGCCAAAAAAAGAAAAAAGTCAAGGAAAAACAAAAAGAAAATCGCGGAGGCAGAGTACACTGCCTCGCTTGATGATGACGTTCCCAGACATTTCACTTTTCCTCGCCTGCAATCGGATTACACATGCAAAACAAAAACAAAAACAAAAAGAGAAGCTGGCAGGCCGAGACCAAAGCAAGAGCCCCTCCGGAAAAACAAACACAAACGAATCCCGTCCAGCTGCATTTTCAATTTCGATACTAAAAAGCGCCACAGAATCAAATCGAAACCTCATGGCCAGCGGAAAAGTTTCGGGGGCAGCCAAACTAGTGGATGCACTTGGATCGGATTACTTGTGTGGCAGCGCAGCTTCCCCAACTCGACTTTCGTTCGTTAGGAAAAGGAAAAGCAGGTGAAAATCCCAACCGATTTTTTGTATATTATATTTGTGGCAATAACAAGGGTAAAATCGATCTAAGTTTTTGTACTTTGAATGTAAAGGGTTTTGTTCTTTAAATGAGGGGAAGTTGGCTTTCTGACTTTGATATTTTAAAAGTTAAAAGAAGTATGATAAAATGACTTAAAAAGGCTTCTAAGGTTTATGGTTGAAGCTGTTAAAATATTATTTTCCCAACTTGTAAAAGCTTCTTCCAAGAGTTGCTAATCAGACTTATTTTAAAGTACTTTCAAATTCCATTCTGCTTAATCACTTAATTGGTAAAACCTTTTCTGTGGTAATATAAAATATAGGAGGCAGCTTGGTTAACAAATTACAACTTTCAAAAATTGTTCTGGTTCCTTAAAAATATTTACTAAATATTTTTAAGACTCAACCTATAAGCCTTGAAGAACACAAAAATTGCTTTAAAAACAAATCCTAAACGTTTTATTAAAAAAATATTTTAAATTAGTAAAGAACACACATGGAATCGATGTCTTATCTTCCCTGATTGTTTTTTTTAGGTTTCCTTTATAATTTTCCACAAATTTTATCAAAACAAAAACCCCAAATTTTTCCAATCAAAAAATAAATGAAAACTTTCAGTCAAGTTGACCGCATGCCATGGCAATTTGCAATTAGAAATTGTAACCCATTTTCGTAGGCCTGATTTGGTTTTTCTTGGGTGATTAGTTTGTGGTATTGC